TATCTTGGTCTTCATACTTTAGAATTAATGTTGCCTACTAAAAGTCGCAACACATTACCACTCCATTACTCAACACAAGACCCGGTTTCTTTGTGTTTGTGGGATCGAGTTGTAATTTTGCAGCATGAAACTCGGTATCCAATTTCGCATTCTGTAGAGGGGCTGATAAGGCTCAGGTAAGGTCAAACCTATAGTCCAGCTATAATGATAAGGTCTTGTGGGAGACAAAGAGTGATCCGAGTTCTTATACATTGGTTATGGCTTGAATGGGATAACAGATAATTTCAACAGATGTAATTTTCCTTTGTTTTCTACGAAAATTATTTTACAATGGTAAAGCCAGTTTGAGTTAAATACCAACTAAGATTTTTTTTAAATATGGGGCAAAATTTAATCCGGTCTCAATGCTAGCATATTATTTATTTCCTTAGTTAGAAGTTAGCTATTTTCTTCTCTTTATCCGTCGGAAGGATATGCAGTCTAAATATAAAAATGATCTATTTAATATAATGAAAAATGGAATATGCTCACCAATAAAATCGGAGGCCGTGCTTTTTACCAGGACAGAAGAAACGTTGATCGATGGTGTTCAGCAAAATGTAGTATCTCTTATATGCATCAACGCCTGCCAATGTCTTTTCAGGAAGGCGTATCGTCTAGTTGTGAAGTGATAACAGTGAGAAAATGTTGAAAATAAGTTAGTATTTCTTACTTTTCGTTTATAAGTTGGGTTTTGAGACTACCAGTAAATCAGCTATATTAGATATATTCACCCTATTTCGTTTAAGGTGATGAAGAGCTGGTAGTTAAATTTTACCACAAGCATATGAGTGGGATGGCGCTTCCGTTGAATTTACACAGACTTGCTTTCCAAAAGTTATTATAATCCATAATGGATTGTAGGTTAGACCTCGCCTAGGTCAGACAAATGCCCCAAGCGGGATTCGAACCATGACAATGCAGCATATAATCTCGACACAGTAAACACTACATCATATTGCCATGAATGGCCTTAAGTCACAAGACAGATGTGAATTTTAAGGAAGGTCATACATCTAGGCGACATCGAAACTGCAATCCACCCTGGATGAAAACAACTTATGGCAAAGCAAGGCTATGTGAAATTCATTGGAAGCGTCAGTTTTACGCGTAATTGTGGGAAAACTCAATTACTAGTCCTTAAACGCCTATGACGAAATAGGGTGAATACATTTCCTAGAGTATTTCTTGTGCTTCAGTGGAGCATCATCACTAAGTGAGACTATGAGAGCAGCCAGTAAAAAGTGATTCTCTTAAAAATTTAATTTAAATTATACTAAAATCTCAATAGTTCGTCAAGCTTGTGGAAAATTGTTTTGGCTGGCATTAAGTTATAATTTTGTCAGTGTTAGGTGTGGTATTACTTGGGATTAAATTTCACTAATCCTCAAAAGCAGCCAGGCTTATCGGCTCAGGTTCATATGATTTCTTTGAGGTTCTAAGTGAAGTACGGATGCGGTACACTTGCTGACTTCAAATTAAAAAAAGTCAGCGAAAATTTATTAGAAGACTTTGATAAAATGAGATGCAGACCATAAAAGCATACATTTAGCACGTATAACTATAAAATTGATGCAACAAGCTAGACATTTCCATACAAATAAACAGTAAAATTAACATAGTTACTGCGAGTGTAAATTAACGTAAAATACATTTGTAATAAAGGATTATGCTGCATAAATATTACCAACCAAGTATTCAACTAACAGTCCTTCATCACCTTAACTGAAATAGGATGAATAGGTCTCATATATTCCAGTAATTCCATCCGGTACCCATCTAAGCACCTTACGATTCTATTTGCCCATGACGGATAAGGGCTCTTCTTATTCTGAATCAAGAGGGTGCAAAGCTAAACGAAATACGGCATATCGAAGAACATAATTTACAGGAAAGATTATCAAAATTGAGTCATCATGTTCTCATTTAGGTCTGATGATACTGAGCGCATTGCTGCACCAATTCGCTGCGTGAGTTCAAAGACGAACCTTAAAAGCCTCGATAAGGCCTTGCTTAAGAGAACTGACAAGTTGGCAGTCAATTGGAAGAGATGGAGCATGCTTGAGTGAAGAGAGAGGTGGAAACTCTTGAACTGGAGAAATGAAAGGGAAGCAATCAGATTGGCTACATGTCCATTGCCTCTATCGACCAGCAAATATACTCAACACAAGCTGCTCAAGACGCCCAATTGGCATACTCATCAGCTCGTAGTAGAAATTTGAATTCTGTGAAGCCTTGATTAGGCCGATCAGCAAAACAAAATGGGTCTCACAAGTGATTCTCACATTGACGTAGCGCCTAACGATCAACTGGAGAATAGCATACTCACGAATGCAGAGACGACGAATACACATTTGCAGGCCAACAAGGGATAAAACACTGCTCGCTTCGTGTGGCAGATAATGAAATTCATACACTCAACGGTAAACTCAGTTATTCCGCAATTTCAGAGGGCAAAATGGAGATAAAACAGGAATGCCATTTGAGGAGGAGGGGGCGATGAGAGACAATGATGGGCCAATTACCTGGGCATTCAGGGGTGCATGGTCTGAACAGCTTAATGAAAGCGAGTGTATCGACCGGAAGAAATCGATTTAAATAATTATATCTTATAAAACTTTCCATAGGCTTGGCCTGAGACAGGATCGAATTGGATGGGAATGCTTTATACTAAAATTAACAGCTTCAGGCCATAACATGAAGGCGGACGAAATCGCTGTGTATGTATGTGGTTTTGTATGTGCATAAGCAAGAAGCGAAAGAAGGCACCTGACATGGTCTCTGATCAATATCTGACTTGCATGACTTAGGGCCCCAAGAGTCAAGGCCGTGGCAGGAGAAGTTTGCTTAATCACAGTGATTCCGCATTTATTGCGCTTTTGTAGTAGATACTTTTGGGTGGAAAGTGAAAAAACCTCAGGAGAAGAAATTATCGTTAAAGTGGGTCATCAGAGTTGTTGAGTTTACTTTCTTTTGGAATGAAGGTTAAGGGGTTAGGAGATAGATACCATCAGAAGACGTCGGATTCCGTTACTGCAATATGCTTTCCCCAAGACTATCATGCGCGATTTTAGTGGGCATCACCAGAGAAGGTTATCTTTATTCTTTATTGCACACATTCACTAGAAAGTGAGCTCAACTATTTTGAGATGTGTTCTGAACTCGTTTTCACAACTTGGTCATGTTGCCAGGGCGACTTAGTTGGACAAACTTTGTCCGAATTCCTCTGCTATAGTAATTATCATATATCCAAGCGTCGGACAGTGGACTTGGTACATTCGGTGGTCTCATATGAAGTTCAAATGTCTATTTGCAGATGTTGTCGTTGAATGGGAAGTAGGCAAGACGCGCTGACGATGCCGGCGAAACGTTTGAGAATGTATCAAGTCCACTTTCTGACGCTTGGCAATATAATAACTACTATAGCAGAGGACTTCGGGCAAGATACGCCCAATTAAGTCGTCATGATAGCACGACCAAGTTGCGAAATCGAAGTCAGGCCACATCTAGACATCGAAAGGAGACCTCAAACAAAATGGATGCCATAATATCTTGGTCCTCGTATCAACAATCTCAAGTCTAGACATTTCCCAAAACCCAATTCACCCTTGCATATACTCAGCCATCAAAGGCTTACGGTGGCTTTTGCTTTGGTTATGAGGGTTAGGTTGAGTCGAAGCTTTCGCAAATTAGCCGTAATCACAACGAAACTTCATGGGACATAAGTGATGACCATTTTGAGAACACACACGTTGAGCAATAAAGGCGAAGGGAGAAAGGTATCTACTCTTAAGTCCTTATTTTTCATATCATTGTGGGAAAAATCTAGTATCACTTATTCCCCACCTTAAACGAAATAGAGTGAATACATCTCTTAAGTCCTTGCATTAAAGATCGCGAATTGGGGGAAGAGGAAAAAGTAGAGTCATTGCGATTGGCACCAAATAAAAAGGAATTAGTCAGATAAATTCGAAAGAAGGATTGATTGTATTACCTTGGTTACTTCATTAATGTGGTGCTGAAAAATTCAAGAGCTAGCATATGTTCTAAATTATAGGCAAACAGGCCTGTGGACCTCTTTACTTTAAAGCATTCTCATACTCAAAGAGGCCTTTCAATGCGACCTAGGCTTTATGATAGTTATTTTTCTATAAGTCACCTAACTCTAGAGGAGATCATCCTTTAGATTCTGGTCAAGCCCATACCATGCGCTATACGATTGGCAATAGAAGCAATTTTACGGATACCACGAAGAATTATCTCCTTGGTGCACTGTATCTTCATAGGTTCAACGCTGCTCCGAAGAATGTTGCTAGGGCAAGTCTAATACCTTTGACCTCTTATAGATGATAGGGCAGCTAGTTAAGGCAAGGAGGATACGTCCTTTCATCCGAAGGATTCTTACAAAACGACCAAAACTAGCATGTCAAATGTAATTATTTAAAAAAGAGAGTCTGGTTCTAGTCAAGGAATCAGTCAAAACTAAAGGCCAAGATACATTGATCCTCGAATAAATTTTGAGAAAATTGA